ATAAGAAAGTCCATACACCATTAGGCATAGCTAAAGACAGAAGGCTTGAATAAACTGACCCAAATTTTTCTTTCTTTTAAAGCAGACAAAAAATTTACCATCTGTTCACCACAGCAAAAGAAAATTGAGAACAAGGAATGATGAAGAATTGATAACTTTGCTTAAATCTTTTCTTCCTGAGTCTTAAATGAAGTATAAAAAGCGACTACAACCCCGATTAAAAATTACTCACGTGAAATGCTCAGAGACAGCTTCAGGTGTCCTCTTTGCAGAGGGGAAGAACTCAAGAAGATCGTCCTCCATCTTACCCCTCTTAAGGATTGAGATCAAATCATCAAGACTGTTGTCAATCAGATATTCCTTGAAAAAGTCTGTGATAAAAGCAAGAACTATCCCTTTGGCGACAAGGTTGTCTTTGAGCAATGGCTGGAGAACAGTCTCCGGAGGAAGGCCTGATAGCTTCTGGGAAAAGGCAAGGGCTGTAAATATTGCGAGCTTCTTCCTTTCATTTTCCTCGAAGAGCTCCAGTGACTGCAACATTTTTCGCATGACATTTTCAAGATTCTTTATAAGAAACGGTCTTCTCCTCAATATCTTCTGTACATAGATGACAGATGGCAAAATGACTTCACGTGTAGGTTCACACTCAATTACAGAGTAAGGATGGCGATCCCCTTCATCGGGTTTAATCGTTCCAGGTTGTGTACGACCTCCAATGAAGATAACCTACACAACACTACATGGTAAGATGAAATGCTAAAGAGAAGCACCAAAGACAGCAAAGCGAGAGCAGTTATTGACATTGTATCAGCCATCCAACAGTAAACATTTATAAACAAGATATCCTTTTTTTGGATATGGTAACTTGCTCCCTTGACTCGAATCTATAAACAAGATATCTTCTTGACAAGCACGAACAACATGCTTAACTGCAGCAAATTCCGACAGCTCAACACGGCATATGATCTACTTAAGGTAATAATGTAAAGGTACTAGCATAAAACAACCTATAATACAACAAGCACTGGTACACTAGTATCAAGTTTTTAAAATGGGAACAATCGTAACAAGGAAAAGAAGACCCCAAAAAGACACAAATTTAAAAAGATCAGACTCCATAAGACCAACAAAAGGATATATTCATCAACACCTACAATGAAATTCTATCTATGCGCACCTTGAGAACACTAGTGGCAAAGTTCCTGTATGAATATAATCTTATATGTTTATATTTTACCTCGAAAAAAGTGTCACCGTATCTTGAGAAGTTGAGGTCTGAAGACTCGAGGTTCTTAGCAACAAGTTCCTGTGCATAATAAAGCATTTAGTTGAGACTTATCCCAAGTATTACCAGCATCAAACATTATATTGAGATTGATGAATAACTATTAACAGCATAAAATACTAGTAATGAAGAAAGAGAGAAGTATAAAGCTGGTGACCCAAATTAAATATCCAATTACCAAATCACCAGCATTATCCAGATAAATCTGGACCACTGCATCAGCAAATGCTGCAGGGTCCAGCGGCGCAGCAATATTCCGCTTGCGGGTCTTAATCCGCGTACCACTGTAATCAAAGGACAAAATCAACAAAAGTTATGGAATTTACAACAAATAGCAGACAGCATAAATAAGAGTAAGAGCTCGGCTGAAAAAAATAACTCACCCGAGAGTGGGCTTCTCCTTCGAGCTATCATTCAAAAACCAAAACAAACAAAAGTTTAATAAAGGACAAGAAGCATTAATTGCAACAACACAAATTATCCAGCAGAAACAGCATAGTATACAAGCTTCACAAAAAGCCACTGGCTATAGTGCAAAAAATAACTCAAGGATGATCAAAATTAGGAGAAGTTTGTATCTTTTGACTTGCGGTTTTTTTTTGATAAGGTGTCTTGCGACATATATAAACAAGAAAGTTCACGGAAAGCCAACAGTAGACAAGTACTAGTGTGGATTAAAGTACCTCGACCACAGACAACTACTAGAGTGGAATAAAAATCATAAAACGAGTGTGGACACATTCCTATTATAAAGAACCTACATCATACATACTTATATCACTAATTTATAATATGTAGGGATACTAGTTCAGCATTCATCGACTCTGCAATGAATGTACGACATGCTAATAGATTTACTGACATTTAATGTCAAAATTAGATAGGGTTCCACAATCCTCATCTCAGCCTTGTCCTTTTCAGCTGGAGTAAATTGACTATAGATGGTCGTGTTGCCACTCAAAAATAAAGATTAATTTAAACTCCCTCTGTTCTATACTCTTTTCTTTTTAGTATGTGACAGAAAAAATGAAACTTTCATATATGGGAAACTCTTCAACTTTAAATTTCTCAGTCTACCTTCAATAAAATATTGTTATACCCATAGAAATGACATGGTATCTTTAAAACCATACGTTTTAAGATTATTTTTGGTATGCGCCAAAAGTCAATCTATCTATCTTAAACTCCGTGCTCAATCAAACACCGCTATATAAATTTATAAAGAGAGGGAGTATCATTTAGTCCACGAAGGAAAATATTGGTGGTAACAAACCTTTGATAACAAATTTTCTTATTTCTCCAATAAAGAGTATTCGTGTGAAGAATAAGTTTCCCTCATGTAAACGAATGAACAAGCCAACTTAATAGGATTACATTTAACAAAAATTGCTCAAATAGACTAATACAACTCATTTTTTTCATTCTGGTCGCTGCTCCTTTTTATTTTTCAAAGTACAGCTTCAAAAGACGCAGTTTTCAGCCCATTCCTTTTCTCTACATAATTGGCAGCATCTAAAAGAAACACCACAAAGTAGTTTTCAGCATCTTTTAACAAATAAAGGCTTCACACGCCATGGATCGTGAGTTCACAGAATTGAACCTGCGACCATTTATTTTTTTGATGAAATAAGTGATACATCATTAACAGGAATGAAAATGCGACCATTTTAATCTGTAAAGCCTTCATAGCTTGTCAGTCTACTATGGTTCCAGTTTGTGTGTTCCATTTGAAAGGTAAAATAGGGTTCTAACATGTTCATTAATACTTTATAGCATTTAACAATATATCATGTGTAAACTGTTTGTGTGTATGTATTATGTATATGTGTGTTTGGAGAGAAGGAGGAAGAGAGAATAAACTTTCCGGCTAAAGCAGGTTCGATTGGACCCCTTGGGTCAAAGTTGATCACCTAATGATAATAAATCCACTAGAACATATAGCAGCACCTAATTAATTAATTTTTTCAATTAATACTAGCGGTTTGCCTTTTATCAAATCATTTGTTCCACATATTGGAAACATGGATAACTATTACCTTGTGACTTCCTATTAAACAGTTGGTAGACTAATTCAAAAACTTTTAAATGTCACAAAAACTTGCATCATGACACGTTTTTATTGGCGCAGGTCTCTGTCCAAGCGAAAAATATCAAGCACACACACACACACATATATATACACATACATACACACATAATACATAATATTCGTATGTTAATAGCATCTGTATACGAGATAACAAAGAAGAGGTCTTAAATAAGAGATAAAACGCTAATTTTTCAACATGAAAAACATTCAGAGTTAGCGTTGTTCTTTTCGTAATTTTAACACCTCAAATTAAAACAGAAAAACATAATTAAGCTAATAATTTCCTCAAAAAAATAGATCTTCCGAATATTAACGAAAAAAAACCCTAATTCACCAAAACATAGATCGATTTGTGAGAAACTTTCATAACAATACACTCAAATATATTCAAAAACAAAACAGCAAGCGGAATAATTTAAAAAAATTAGTACAGAAAATCGATAAGAAATTAACAGATCGTAAATAATTAATTACACATAAAACAGAAAAAATCGACTAAAAATAGGATAGAGATAATGAATCGTTACCTCATAAACTAAGATGGAGAAAAATCAAGGTCGATGCAGAGACTTCTGCGCTTTGCGGATGAGAGAATATTAGAGTGAGAAGGGGAGAATAGGAAGAAGAGAGAACCGAGTTCTCGTAATGCCCTGTGCTAAGATATTTATATCACTTTTTATTTCCTTAAGGGTGAGGCTGGCTTTGAGTGAAACTAACAAGTAACAGTCTCAGGGTCGAATCCTACTTACAACATTAGAATCAGCTGGTCTATTAAAACTACTTTTTTGTATCATTAAGATCATTGAACTCTATACATTACTCCTCCGGTCCATTTTAATTGATCTTTTGGTCTTTTCATATGGTGTACAATATTTAATTTTTTTATATATTGAGAAGTAATTAATTTTTTTTTTCAAAGTTGTCCTTAGAATAAAGAGCCTAAGAATATTTGTTGTATTTTCAATGAACAAATTAATAAGGTTAAAATAGTTAATTTTTATGTTAATTAATGCTAAAAGGTGAATTCCTTAATATGTGTGAAAACAGCCAAAAAATCAATTAAAGTGAACCGGAGAGAGTATATCATAAAGTCATTAAATTACTTTTTCTTTTCATTAAAGTCACTAAACTTTACATGTTGTATTAGTAAAGTAAGGATGACAAAAATAGCAAAACTAAAGTTGTCTATATACTTTGATTACTTATAAAATCACATAAAAGGTCTATATGGGGATATAAGGATACAGATACTAATGTCGTCTATGAAGTATACATTGATGTAGGTAATAATTCATTTAAGATAATGAAAAATAAATGTCACGTGAAATTTATAACTAGTTAAGTGGAATTTATAATTAGTTGTAAATTATTTTTGCATAACTAATAATGACAATCTTTTTTATACAAAAGTAAAATACAGTCAGACATCTCTTTAACAATATCCTTATATAACAACACTTCTCTATAAAAGTCAAGCTTTTTCGAAACTAATTTTATGTTATGTTATAATATATGTTCACTATAACAGCACTTCGCTGTATCAATCATTAAAACTAGAAGAATATCAATCATCTAACAATGTCCAGAAAAGACAGATCCATAGACAACAAACTTGGAATGGGTAGAGACAACGCGGAAAGTTTGGAAAAGATACATGGCTTTAGCATAGCTTGTGGAGGTCCCTTTGATTTGACGATATTTAACCCATATAATTGGTGCTTTGATGTTAAGTCGAATAGTGTGTGGACCATGTATAGGTTTTTTCAGGCAAGGGTACATACAACTTAGAATAAAAATGGGAAGAAATGGGTAAATAGCTCCATTTGATCTATGGTATTAAAGTTTAGCTAGTATTTAAAAAATTATTACATTTAACCACTCATTAACACGAAAAAAGTTTTGGGCAAAAATACATTTAACTAAATTATTGAACAACTTTAGCAATGGGTACGGTTCGAATATTTACAAGTGGAACCTCAACATAATATGGTGGAGTTCAAAGTATATTTTAAGAACTAGGTTGGAACTCCAATATACGTTGTTGAACTTTTACTTTTTAAAGTTAACAGCATATTGTGTTGGGGCTTCATATGTATAGAATTTTAAACTCTAGTACAACATGATGGTGTTTCACCTGTGAAAGTTCCGTACTTCAGTATATGATACTGAATTTTCACTTGTACATAAATTTTCAGACTCTGACATAGTCTGTTGGAGTTTTACTTATAAAAGTTTCGAACTCCAATATCGATTATTAGAGTTTTTCGTGTTTGAGGGTACTTTAATTCGTCCAAATATTTTTACACATTAAATAGTGACGATTTTCCTAGTACATTTCAAATAGCGGCCAAACTCTAACAAAAGTCATCGTCCCGACTAATCTTTTCACGAAAATTAGCTCTTAAGGCCAGAGCCTACCTCCAAATTGACAGAAGCTCATAGCAAGACAAAATCACAAGCAAAAAGTAATGAATCTCCTCAGGGTTTCTAATTTGCAGAGTTGAAATAAAACATTGCTAAGTCTAAAGCTTCATGCAAGAAAGTTCCTACTTTTAGCATGCATAGTCAAATATCAACTTTCATGAACTCCAAAAGAATGTCAAGAAAACACACTCAGGGAGGTATAGGCTAGTAGAAACAAGAGCGTGACTCTGATCTATTTTTGTATAATATCTATTTCTATGAGTTAGTGTTGGTGAAAATACAAATATAGTTGAAAAATAAAATAAAATATCTTCAGGCTGAGGCGCGGATATCTCGTTCTCTTTAAGGAGATTCAAGTCCACTACAACAAAGTCTTCACTGGTCCAGCAATAATCCTCTTGACTTGTCTCCCCTAGGATACAACGGCCCTATCACGTCATATGACTCGAACAAACTCTAGACAAGTTGTTGAGTGCAAAGCTCCACCAAGATGAACACCTTCCTTCAACAAGAGTAAAACTCTCATCTTCTTTTTTCACAACTTTAACCTCACTTTTTAAACACTCTACAATTTTTTTTCACACCACATTATGGAAGAAAGGCACCTATTTATAGGTGTAGAAATTCTTCCTTGAATTAAATTGGAAGAAAGTGGGGTAATAAGTTATGAAATCGTGGAGAACATGAGATAATGGATAAATTACTGTGTAATTAGTAGTAGAACATGAAAAAAGAGTTACAAAAGAGTTATGACCATTTTCTACGTCATGGAGTAGTGAAAGTTATGGGAGTTGTGGTCATTTTCTATATCATGGAGTAGTGAGAGTTATGACATATTTTATTTTAATAATAAAATTCTAATATACTAACATTCCCTCACTTATTTTAACATTAAATAAGTGAGTTTACGAGTTGAATGGGGGCTATTATGCATAATGAAGGTGTGCTCTACATTGAACTTCCACTTAGCATAACAGTAATCTCTACTCCAGAGTCAGTAATGGTCTCAAACTTAAACTATGACTGCTTTAGGAAAATAAATTATCGTTGTTTACACATAATAATCAAGGTGTTGACATTGAGCTTTATTAGCCAGCACATTATGGCCTTGTGCTATCCCGATTTTCATGAATGTTTTTGAGAATTAGCCCAATTCTCATAATAAGCGGCCTACTTTCACACTCACATAGGTGAAATCTGTTGTGACGACCCAGCCGGTCATTTTGTGTATTGTAGTCTCGTTCCCTGTTTATTGTTTATTCTATGTTCGTTTGTGGTAATGTGACTTGCCAAGATGGTTGGTTTGATTCCGGGGATATTTCGGAGTGAATTGGGACACTTAGTCCCAAGGTTGGAAGCTTAAATTGAAAGAGTTGACCGGAGTTTGACTTTTATGTAAACGACTCTGAAATAAAATTTTGATGGTTCTGTTAGCTTCGTATGGTATTTTGGACTTAGGCGTATGTCCGAATGTAGATTTGGAGGTTCGTAGGTTGATTTGGTGTATTTTGTCAAAAACTAGAAAGTTGAAGGTTTGGAAAGTTGAGAGGTTTGACCGAGAGTTGACTTTGTGGGTATCAGGTTTGAATTTTAGTTCTGAAAGTTAGAATATGTCTGTTGTGTCATTTATGACTTGTGTGCAAAATTTGAGGTCAATTGGAATTGGTTTGATATGATTCGATATTGGTTTTAGAAGTTGGAAGTTCATTAGTTTTATTAGGCTTGAATTGTGGTATGATTCGTGATTTCAATATTGTTTGATGTGATTTGAGGCTTCGATCGAGTTCGTATTATGTTTTGGGATTTGTTGGAATATTTGGACAGGGTCCCGAGAGCGCCGGGTGAGAATCGAATTGAAAACGGATGGAGATTTGGACTTAAGGAATTTCTGGAGCTTCAGGTCTGATGGAACCACGCCTGCGTGATTTTTCTCACAGGTCACGCAGGTGCGGAGCCGCAGAAGCGACCTTTGGGGTCGTAGGTGCGTGTTTGGTTGGGCTACTGGGTCGTAGGTGCTTGTTTGGTTGGGCTACTAGTGGGTCGCATGTGCGAGGAATATGTCGCATCTGTGAGCCCACATATGCATTTTGGTTTCCACAGAAGCGGAGGATGAACTGGGATTGAGAGTCCGTAGAAGTGGTCGTAGGAGCGCAGAAATGCATTCGCAGGTGCGGAGGATCTTCCGTGGAAGCGGACCCGTAGAAGCAGGACTTGAGACGCAGAAGCGGGAGGTTGGAGTTTAAGTGGACTTCGCAGAAGCGAAGCTTTTTTTGCAAAAGCGGAAGCGCATGTGCGCTGATTTTGTCCGCTAAAGCAAGATCGCTCGACAGTGTTTAAAATCGAAGGGTTTAGTTATTTTTGGAATTTTTGGAATTTTGAAGTTCGGACTATTGCGATTTTTTCCACCTATATTGAAGAGGTAAGTGACTTATAATCACTGTTATCCATAAATATTGAATACCCATTGATTATTTCACCTAATTTTCATGAATCTAAGTTAGAATTTGGGATTTTATGGACGATGATTTGGAGAGTGAAATTTGAGAATCTGAGGGTCGATTTGTGGTTGGAATTGGATAATTTTGGTATAGTTGGACTCGCAATTGAATGGGTGTTCGAAATATTTGAATTTTGTCGGGTTTGGAGGTGCGGGCTCGGTGTTGACTTTTTGAGTTGACTTTTTAATTTGAGTTAAAGACCTTAGCTTTATCTTTTTGAATCACTACATATGGCTTTTATTGATAGTATTACGTTATTTTGCTAGATTCGAGCCTTCAGAAGGTTGATACGCGCGAGAAGGGCTTGTTAGCTGAGTGATTTGGTTTGCTTGAGGTATGTATCTTATCTAAACTTGGTTGAGGCACTAGTTGCCTGAATTATTTGTGATAGCTACGTGCTATGGGTGCGCACATGTGTGGGGTTTGAGCCCATGTGCTAATTATTTATCCATGCTCGAGGCAGTGTTTAGGCTATGTCATGCCTTGAATTGATTGTTAAGCTTCAACTGAGTTGTTTCTTCTATGTGTACCCCTCTATGAGCTATTTGTACCACGTTGAGGTTTCATTGAGGTTATTTTCCCAATTGGAACTGATAAAATGGCTATTCCATGATGAAATTATTTGTTTTAGCTGTGATAGCACATATTGCACATGCCTACGGTATAGCATGCTAGATATACTAGTCCAGGAGCATGAAATTTGTCATCATAGATCATGTACATGTATTCTTGTATATT